ATTTTATTTTCTTATGATGTCTTTATCTGGCTTTTTTTTTTTAATCAGAGTAATGCCATTATAAAGTATTTATTCCTCTTCAGTTTTTTTGAAGGGTTAAGTACGATTGATTTTAATTCTTTAAATATTGGTAGAATTCGCTGGTGAGGCCCTGTGATCTAGGACTTTTGTTTTGGGGGAGGCTTTTCAGTATGTATTCAATCTCTTTACTTGTTACAGGCTGTTGAGATTTTTTATGTCTTCTTGAGTCAGTTTAACTAATTTGTGTGTTTCAGAAAATTTGTCCATTTCTTTGGGTTAACTAATTTGTTGGAATATAATTGCTTATATTTTCTGTTATATTCCTTTTCATCTCTGTAAAGCTGATAGTAATGTCCCCACTTTCATTTCTGATTTTATTTGTGTCTTCTTTTTTTCTTTGTTTATGTAACTAATGGTTTGTCAATTTTATTGATCTCTAAGAACTGAATTGGTTTCCATTGATTTTCTGTATTATTTTTCTATTCCCTATTTTCTTAATCTCCACTCTAATCTTTGTTATTTCCTATCATCAACTTTAGTTTCCTCTTCTATTTCTAATGCCTTAAGGTGTAAATTTAGGTTATTGATTTGAGATCTTTCTTCTTTTTTAATGTAGACATGTATAGCTATAAACTTCCCTCTGCACATTGACCCATTCATTGATTGAGATTTGTGTTAATTTCCACATATTTGTGAACTTTTCCATTTTATTAATTTCTGACTTCATCTCACTATGTTCAGAAAAGATGCTTTGAATAGTGTCTTCTTTTTTAATTAATTGAGACTTGTTTTCTGGCCTAACATATGGTATATCCATGGAGAAATCTCAGGTGTGCTTGGGAAGAATGGGTATTCTGCCGTTGTTTGGGTGGAGTGTTGTGTATGGACTGTTAGGCCTGGGTGGTTTCTTGTATTGTTCAAGTCTTCTATTTCCTTACTTATTATCGGTCTGGTTGGTCTATCCATTATCGAAAGTGGGATACTGAAGTCTCCAACTATTATTGTCAAACTTTGTCAATTTTTGCTTTATGTATTTTGAGGATATGTTATAGATGTGTAAATGTTTATAATTATTACATCTTACTGTACTGAACCTTTTACTGATATATAATGTCCTTTGTCTCTTGTAACATTTTTTATTTAAAGTCTATTTTGTCTGATATTAGTATAGGCAGTTCAGTTCTTTTTTGGTTACTATATGCATGGAACATCGTTTTCCCTTCTTTCACTTTGAACTTGTGTCTGGATCTAAAATGTGTCTCTTTGTAGACAAGAGATACCTAAGTCATGTTTTAAAAAGATCATTCTGCCAATCTCTGTCTTTTGGTTGCAGAGTTTAACTCATTTACATTGAAGTATTTACTGAAGGGGCACCTGGGTGGCTCAGTTGGTTAAGCATCTGCCTTTGGGCTCAGATTATGATCCCAGGGTCCTGGGATCAAGCCCCTCATCGGGCTCCCTGCTCAGTGGGGAGCCTGCTTCTCCCTCACCTGCTCCCCCTGCTTGTGTGCTCTCTCTCTGTCAAGTAAATAAATAAAATCTAAAAAAAAAAATAAAGTAATTACTATAAGGAGGGATTTAGTTCTGCCATTTTGCTATATGTTTTCTATATGCCTTATAATTTTTTCCATTTCCCCTATTACTGCCTTCTTTTGTGTTTACTTGATATTTGATTGAAACATTTTGATTACTTTCTCATTTCTTTATGTGTATAATCTAAACATTTTCTTTGTGTTTTCCGTGGTGATCACATTTAACGCTCTAAAGTTATATCAATCTAATTTGAATTTATACAAATTTAACTTCAATAACACACAAAGACTCTGTGCCCATACAGCTTGATCCTCCCTCTTCCTGTTACTGATGTCACAGATTACATCTTTATACATTGTGTGTTCAATAATGTAAATCAATATTTGTTTTTATGCATTTGTCTTTTAAATCACATAGAAAATAAAAAGTTGAGTTACAAACCAAAGTTACAATAATACTAGCTTTTATAATTGCCCATCTATTCACCTTTATCAGAGATCTTTATTTCTTCTTTGAGTTATTGCCTAGTGTCCTTTCATTTTAACCTGGACTCCTATCTCAAAAGGCAGATATAGTGGTTACAAACACCCTCAGCTTTTGTTTATCTGGGACTGTCTTCTTTCTTCCTCATTTTTGAAAAACAGTTTTGCTGGATATAGAATTATCAGCTAATAGGGTTTATTTGTTTGTTTCTTTTCAGCACTGAATAGATCAACCTTCTCATCTCCAAGGTTTCTGATGAGAAGTCAGCTTGTAGTCTTAGTGGAATCCCTTGTATGTGAAAAATCACATCTCTCTTGCTGCTTGTAAGAGTCTCTCTTTGTCGTTGGCTGTTGACAGTATGATTATAATGTGTCTTGGTATGGATATCTTTGAGTTTATCCTATGTGCAATTTGTTGAGCTTGTTAGATTTGTAGATTCATATCTTGCAAAAACTTGGGGGGATTTTGGATATTATTTCTTCAAGTAATCTCTCTGCCCCCTTCTCTTGCTCTTCTCCCTCTGGAACTTCCACAATCTGCACATTGGTCTGCTTGATGGTGTCCCATGGTTCTCTTAAGTCCTGTTCATTTTTCTTCATTCTTTTTTTCCTTATGTTACTCAGACAGAATAAACTCATTTAGCCTATCTTCAATTTCATTGATTATTTCTCCTTCCTGATAAAAAACTGCTGTCAAGCCCCTTTAGTGATTTTTAAATTTCAGTTAATGTACTTTCAGCTCCAGGATTTCTATTTGATTCTTTTTTTAGAACTTAATCTTTTTATTGATTTTTTTTTAATTTGATGAGATATTACTCCCATACTTTCCTTTAACTCTTTAGACATGTTTCCTTTTGTTCATTTAACATATTTAAAATAGCTGATTTAAAATCTTTGTCTAGTAAGCCCAATGTTTGAAAGTCCTCAGGGACATTTTCTATTGATGACTTTTCTCTGTGTATGGGCATACATTTCTGTTTCTTTGCACGTCTCATAATTTTTGTTTTTGGGAACATGACATTTTAAATAATGTGACAAGTCTAAGATCTCTTGCCCCTTCAGGGTTTGTTGTTGCTGATTGTTGTTGTCATTTGTTTGCTTAGAGACTTTTCTGAACTAATTCAGTAAAGTCTGTTTTTTGTTTTTGTTTTTATTTTGGTGGCCACTTATGTCTTCGTTCAGTTAGCTTAGTGGTCAGCTAATGGTTAGACAGAGATTCCCTTGGATACCTGAATCTCCCAGTTTTTGCCAAGGGGCTCTGTGTGGGTGTTGAGCTATCCCTTCAACATTCAACCAGGCAGTTGACAACTCTGTCTTGGGCTTGATACCAGCTTGAGCAATGTCTCAAGATAAGCTAGATGTGCTTAGGGCTTTCTTGGGTTTTTTTCCCCATGCAATGCAGCCTTAGTCCTATGCATAGCCCATAGAATGTATATGGCCTTTTAGATTTTCAGGAATATGTTGGAGCTTTTCAAAGCCCCCTATAGATATCTAATTCCAGAGCTTCTCCTTTTAAACTTTCTGATGAGCTTAATGTTTGCCTCAAATGTTTGCCCACCCCAGGCAGATGCAATATTAAACAATTGCCTGTTATTTTCAACCAGTCCTCCTGAGGAAAGGCTGTTCACCCAGGCTGAACTGTGAAATCAAGTCAAATAAAGAGAGTCTTGAGAGTCTTCCAGGGAATCAACCAGGTAGTTCAAACAATGACAATTCACTGAGAATGAGGCTTTAAAGGGACTTTATGCTCCTTCCAGTGGCTGCCAGGCTACTGGTTTGCACCATGATAGCAGGTTGTTGATTTTTTTTTTTTTTACGTTTTTATTTATTTATTTGATAGAGAGGGAGAGAGAGCACAAGCAGGGGGAGCTGCAGGCGAGGGAGAAGGAGAAGCAGGCTCCCCGTGGAGCAGGACATGGTTTAGGGCTCAATCCCAGGACCCCGGGATCATGACCTGAGCCAAAGGCAGTTGCTTAACCAACTGAGCCACTCAGGCGCCCCTAGGCTGTTGATTTTTAAGGCAACTGCAGAGCTGAGAAGGAGGAAGTGAGAATAAAGCAAGTTAAAATGTCATAAAGCTCAGGTTTTTTTTTTTTTAACTGAGATTTGGCTATTATTTTTTTTGAACAAAGACTCCCTGGACTGCTCCAAGATTTTGGTTATTTTCCAGAGTTCTGACATAGTTAATTCCGACAATTTTTTCAGTGTTCATATTGCTTTCACGGAGGAGAGGATTTTCAGTGCTCCTTACTCTGCCTTACTTCTGGATATTTGATTTTTGACTCTTGATTATTTTATGATGTGCTGACTCAAGTCTGAAATTCTCCCTGGAGACCCTATAGGGTTAATTCCTTTACTGATAGTTGTCAACTAGATTTATGGGTCTGACAAACCTGTCTTGATTATTTAAGGGAGTTCTCTAAGAGCTTCTCCTTTGAGCTCCTTGAGCTCCTTCCTGTAAACAAGATTCTTCTCAGAGATGTTGGTGGTTTAGGCTGGTGACACAGCATGATCCCTATTTATGCAAATAAGGGCCTCGGGGAGTTGGCACAGGAGATGTCTCTCTGACCTCCAATACTTGCCTGTATTCTCTTTTTCTTGCTGCACCATATTCTTTGCCTTTAAATAAAAGCCTATATGAAGATACTCTGTGGAGTCTGGTGAATCCTTTCAAATAACCAAATCTTTGCAATGGTATATCCATACAATGCAGCTGTAGATAAGATTGTGAAAGATCTCTGTGAACTGATATGGAAAGATACACAGAATACACTATGAAATGAAAATGCAAGGAGCAGGAGTGTGTTTTAGTACACTATTTTTTACATAAGAAAGGGGAGAAATACAAGAGTATATAATTGTATTTGCTTGATTTGCATAAGGAAACACAGGATACACACACACAGACACAAAACTATTAAAAATTATTAACTATGAAAGCAGTGGAAGCCAGATATCTCAACATAAATTTCCATACAGTTTTTATTTTTGATCCTTATGAATATATCACCCATTCCAAAAAATTTAAATTTTCAAAGTAAATGAAGAAAAAAGAAAAGAAAATTAATCATATGGCCCAAGGGGAATAATAAAGTATTACAGAGGTTCATAGTAAGTACCAAGATATAAAGATGGAAGAATAATAGACATGCCAAAACATAAGCATAAACAACAAAAGTAAATAGGTACAAAGCCCAAGTCCCACTTGGGTATCATATAAAGCCTTAGATTATTGCTTTAGTTTAGGGTTCCTGAACAGCAGAAATGATGACATTCTGGGCAAGATACTTCTTTGTTGTAGGGGGCTGTCTTGTGCACTGTAGGATGTTTAGCAGTATTATCCTTGGCCTTTACTCACTAGATACCAGTAGTAACCCCCCCCACACACACACAATTGTGACAACCAAAAGTCTCCATACACTGGCAAATGTCCAGGGGAGAAGAGTCACCAAAAGCACCTCCAGTTGAGAATCACTGCTCTACCTGGTCTAAATAGTAAGTGGATTTTCTAAGCATCTCATTAAGAAATTAAAAAAAAAAATTTTTTTTTAGTTAATGTTTTCCTGGCAACTGATCTATTTCCCAGAACTAGTCTTTCACTGAAATGTCAAAAATTTCACGTAATAGTATTTTCCAGTTTTTTAGATTAACATAAGCATGATTCAGCAAGTGTATTATTAAGCAAATTTTGAGTGACTTAACAATTTATCAGAAATATTTTCCCTTTAAATCACATATTTAAATTGCTGAGTCATTTGGTGTCATTTTATTTGAATCTTTCTGTGCGGTAGCCAATTTCTACTTGTCTAATGATACCAGACAAATGGAATCAAACGCTTGTGTCTGCTTTTACACGTTTCGGTAGAGTTTCTTATATAAAATCGAGGGGAGGGACACCTCTAATATGAATTTGAAGTAACTCTGTTAGGGACTCCTTTTCTTTCTTTAACCTTTCCTTGGGAGTCTGGAATCCTTCAAGAAATCGGCCAGTTGGCGGTAAGGACGATAATGAATTCGCTCTGCATCTGTGAGAATCCTCATCTCACAATAACAACCTTGAAGCCCCTACTCGCTCAGGAGCTCATAGTGCTGGCAGCCTGACTTGCCGTGGGGGAAACAGAAGGAGCTTCTTCTCCCGCTGCTCTACCCAGGATCTTCTGGGAGTGATGCCGGTGGCCATAATTATTCTCAAACACGATCGTTCCATTTCCGAAAAAAAAAAAAAAAAAAAAAAAGCAAATCAAACCCGTGAGCCTGCAGGTTTATTTTTAATGTGATTAATTTCAGTTGGAGGAGCAGGGCAGGTCACACGTCCCAGGAGAATCACCTTGGTTTACCCTATCCTGGAACTCAGGTGGAAGGGTTTCCTCAGTGGATGGGACCTACCGTTCAAAGCAGGAAAGCCAAGACCTTTTCTGGGCGAGATGGAAAAACCCTCTTCCTTCTGAAGGTCTAAAGACGGGGTACGCTCAAGTAAGTCTTCGGCCAGCAAGGGAATCTCTAACCGCTCTCTCTTCCCCAGCGCCTCCTGCGTGCTTGCAACCCCATTCCCAATGCGCGCGAGTGCGTGCGAGCAGACTCGGAGCTCGGCTCACAGGCCGGGAACTCTCCCTGGAGCACCCGCTCAAGAGCAAGCAGATGCCCAGCATGCCAAAGATCCCACCGACTGGGGCACCGCCTGGGACTCCCGGCCCGGCCGTTTCTGAATGGAGGAATGGCTGGCCCCACGACTGTTGCGTGAAACGAACCGGTTTTGGAAGCAGAACATCCCCTTTCGCGGGGACGCCCCCTCTCCACGCCGGGGCCGCAGAGGAACTCTCCCTGCCTTTCTGTCGGCCACTCTCCTCCAGGCCCACTTCCCAAGCTCCGAAACGCGCCGGGACTCCTGACCTGGTTGCCATCGGTGGCACTCGCCTGCCTGGGCTGCGTGAGTCCCGAGCTGATTTGGGTGGCGAATTTAGGGCCCAACGATCTGGCTCGGGGAGTTAGTTCTGATGGCGCGGGTGTCCCCCCCGGGGGTAGTTTCAGAGCGCGTCTCCAGAAGCCCAGATCCTTAAGCCCCCTCACCCCACCCCGAGCACTCGCATCCCCGGGTAACGGCCAGCAGGTGTGCTATCCGCAGACCGTCCTGCAGTCAAGGAGCCGAGCGTGCCCCGCGCTCGTCTCTTTTCCGACGACACCTGAAAGCGCACCGGGGCGCACCCAACAAATCTCGTTAATCCAAACACCCTCGTCCGAGGCGTCCCAGGTTCGAGTTCGGCCCGACCGTCCCCTTCCCGCGTCGACGCTGGAAGCCTCATCTGCGCGGGCTTTCCCTTCGGACCCAAAGGGGCGCGCGCGGCGGTGCGCGGGACCCGCCTCTTCCCTGGGCTCTGGCGGGGCGGGGGTGGGTAGGCAGGGACCTGGATCTGATTAGCTGGGAGGGGGAAGCCGTGGTCCCCACCGCTCGCTCCTGTCTCCCAAGCTGGGGGAGGAGGAGGAGGAGGAGGTGCAGGAGGGCCGACCCAGAGAGCAAGAGCGGGGGTCCCATCACTGAGCACCCGGGTCAAGGCCGGAGCTGCCGCCGCCGCCGCCGCCTTCCGGCTCTCGAGTCGCCCGCGCCCCGCGCCCAGCCATGGGCCCCCCTTCCAGCTCCGGCTTCTACGTGAGCCGCGCGGTGGCCGTGCTGCTGGCCGGGCTGGCGGCCGCGCTCCTGCTCGCGCTGGCCGTGCTCGCCGCCCTGTACGGCCGCTGCGCGCGCGTCCCGCCGTCGGAACTTCTCCACCGCGGGGTCCCGGGCGCCGCGCCGTCCCGGCCGCGCACGCAGGAGGAGCCGCGGCCCACCGGGCACACGCGGCCCACCCGGGAGCCGGCGGGCACGGCCACCCCGGGCAGCGGGCGCCCCCCGGGACCCTGGGACCAGCTGCGCCTGCCGCCCTGGCTCGTGCCGCTGCACTACGAGCTGGAGCTGTGGCCCCGGCTGCGGCCGAACGAGTCCTGGGCTCCGACGTTGACCTTCACCGGCCGCGTGAACATCACGGTGCGCTGCACCGTGGCCACCGCGCGGCTGCTGCTGCACAGCCTCTTCCTGGAGTGTGAGAGCGCCGAGGTGCGGGGCCCTCTCTCCCCCGGCACCGGGGACCGCCCGGCGGGCCGCGTGCCGGTGGACGACGTGTGGGTCGCGTTCGACACGCAGTACCTGGTGCTGGAGCTCGGCGGCGCTCTGCAGCCCGGGGGCCGGTATGTGCTGCAGCTCAGCTTCTCCGGCCTGGTGTACCAGGATCTCAGGGAGGGGCTCTTCTTCAACGTCTACACCGACCAGGGCGAGCGCAGGTAAGGGCAGGCCGGCCCGGGTCCCCTCCGCCCCCGCGTCCCCCGGCCGCCTACCTGCGTCCAGGGGCGCGTGCCCCCAAAGCCCCCATCACTCGCGACGCTTTCTTGTAGAGCCCAAAGGCGAGCGCCCCCGGCCTCCCCTTCCCTTCAGAAACCCTGCTTGTTTGTTTCCTGAGATTAACAAACAGGGTTGCTGGAGTGGTGGGGGGTGGAGGGATGGGGGGCCTGGGTGATGGGCATTGGGGAGGGGATGTGCTATGGTGAGCGCTGTGAATTGTGTAAGACTGATGAATCAGAGACCCGTACTTCTGAAACAAATAATACATTATATGTTAAAAAAAAAAAAAAAAAAGATAGGAGGAAGGGGAAAATGAAGGGGGGGAATCGGAGGGGGAGACGAACCATGAGAGACGATGGACTCTGAGAAACAAACGGAGGGTTCTAGAGGGGAGGGGGGTGGGGGGATGGGTTAGCCTGGTGGTGGGTATTGAGGAGGGCACATTCTGCATGGAGCACTGGGTGTTGTGCACAAACAATGAATCATGGAACACTTCATCTAAAACTAATGATGTAATGTATGGGGATTAACATAACAACAAAAAAAGAAGATAGCAGAAGGGGAGGAATGAAGGGGGGGAATCGGAGGGGGAAACCAACCATGAGAGGCTATGGACTCTGAGAAACAAACTGAGGGTTCTAGAGGGGAGGGGGGTGGGGGGATGGATTAGCCTGGTGATGGGTATTAAAGAGGGCACGTTCTGCATGGAGCACTGGGTGTTATACGCAAACAATGTATCATGGAACACTACATCAGAAACTAATGATGCAATGTATGGTGACATAACATAATTAAATTAAAAAAAAACAAAACAAAAAGCAAAAAACCCCTGCTTGTAAATACAGGCTAGCAGACCGAGGCCCTCCCGCTGGCCAATTTTTAGCACCATCCCCGCCCATCCAGTTTGTTTGTGTCGTTGCCCTTTTAAGGTCGCTGCTACCCCCAGAAGCTTACCATTGTCTTCAGAGAGGCCCCCCCCCCCCTTTGCTCTAATCCAGGACGGCTTCACCACCGTGAGCAAATCTCTTGCTACTCAAAGTTTGGTCCGCGGACCGGCAGTAGATGTCAATCTGGGAGTTTGTTCGAAATTGCAAATTCCCCACCTTCGAACGAAGGATCAGGATGTGCGTTTTAAGAAGAACACCGGGTGGTTTCTGGGTATGAACGTTGGAGAAGCTTGGGGCTGTCGCACCCTTGTGCCCCGAGGTTCCCTCCCCGAGCGCGCTGTGCGCTGAGCTCCCTGCTCTCTTTCTTCCTCGTCCTCGGTCTGTAGCTGCTGCTCTTGCAACAAAGAGACTCACGTCGGTGCAATTCTCATATTTTTCTTTTTTTCCTTTTTGCTGAGGTTCTCCAAAACTGAAGGATCCCCTTTAATTCATCCCCTCCCATTCCCTGCCTGGGGACCGAGTCTCGTTTTGTGGATGAGCGGCAGCTTCCCTGACCCCTCCCAAGCTTTTGAAGGGCTCTGCCGAGTATGGGGGAGCCGGCGCTTTCGGGATTCCTTCCCTGGGAAGAAAATAATAATAATAATAATAACAACAACAATAATAGCGGTGACAAGAGACATCCCCTCTGGGTTTGCAAGCTCACGTAGCATGCATGTGTTCTCTTTACACTCATTTGGGATAACGCTTTCCACACGGAATGTTTCCAGCTCAAGAATTGCCTCTTTCCATGATCTGCGACCATGTTACTGACCTCAGGCGAGTGCCCCGGGAAATCGTGTATGTGGAAGATACCTAAAAGTTCTTTCTTCAAATGCTCACCCGCTGGTGGAGCATCTGCGGTTTACACAACTGCATGTACTTTGCCTTTTATTATTAGAAAAAATGTTCTCAGATGTTCTCCGAGGGAAAGGAACCTACTCAATTACCTCTTAAATCATCTCCGGCATTATTTTCAAAAACTTCTGGGCTTTGGAAGTAAGTTTAATAAGCTGCCTCAGTGGGTGTGTAATCTGTAGCTTTGTTTTTAAGGACTGTATGCTTGGGCTTTTTTTTTTTCTTTTTTTTTCTTTCTTTCAAAAATGCACCAAAGCTTGTAAAATAGCTTTGGAAATTTTCTCATTAGGATGATGTGTTACCAGACTTAAGGGCACAGGAAACCTTTTGCAATTACTGTGCGGGTGGTTCAGAGTGCAGGATTTTTCAGGGGGAAAAAAAGGACACTGCACGCACATCAGACAGTGTTTTCTGCCGTGAATTCAGTAAATCCTTTGCTAACCCATCTCTTCCTTCTTCTTAATGAGGCCGTGGCCTGGATAGACTGCCCTCGCAAATATGGGAAATGAAATTCCCTTTCCATTTTTCTATTGTGTTGCCAACTCCATTGGTAACTAGAAACCGTATTTTGAGAATGTTAAAATTCAAACAAGCAGACATCCTAATAAAGTCCCCCAGATGTTCAGAGACCAACTTAGAGTTCCAGACTTGTGGCATCTTAGAGGAGCTGTTACTTGGAAATTGCTCCTCTGCATCTCTGCTTTGGAAACCACAAAGGGAGGAAACCTCCAGGTGAGCTTGAAGCCAAGGTCACAGAGAAGTTGGACAACACGATGAGTGCGGTGAAGCCGATTTTGGAAGCCCACCAGGCCTGAGTTTGAGCTGTGCGACTTGAGTCAGGTTCTCCATGTCTCTGAGCTGGTTGCCTCATTCATGGAAGAGACCTAAGTGTCACCCTTTAGAGTGTTGTGAAAATTCCTGAGAAGGAGGACAGTATTTGGCACAGAACCTATGTGGTGGTCGCTGCTCCTATCAGCTCAGGGTGTGATGGTTAGGAGCAGCCTCTTACTATCGAAACATGGAAATGTGAGACTCCAAAGAAGATCCCCCTTGGGGAGCAACTGCCTACTGAGTGCACATTCTCCATGGGCTGTCTCCGATGCTGGCTGCCAACGGTTGGAAAGTGTTTACTTCTCTTCTTTGATGACCCCTTATCACAGTCTGGACAGGCTACAGCTTTTAAATAATCTTACTCAACACCAAGGCAAAAGAAAAAGAAAAGCATTCCAGAAAACCCAAAGAGCATCACTATCTCACACTTCTAAGGCTTAGGTTACCGATTTTCTAGCTTCAGAGGTTGCTGGGGATGCTTCCCGAATGTTCTCTGCCCTTCTCCACTTGGCAGGTGCCATCCCATTTCTGCCACAGAGGAGACATCTACTGGATGCCTTGGACGTGTGCGTCTGTATGTCAGTGTCTGCTTCTCTTGTTCCGTGTGTAGAAAGCTGAGAGCACAATCCAAATGTTAATGTTCCTGATGACAGTATTTCCCAGACTTCATTCTCTGGTGCATCACTCTTCTGGGTTTTGCCATATTCACATACCTCTGGCCGTATTTTTTTGGTAAAAAATATCACTCAACTTAAACAAAAATATTAAGTAGATTTATTAAAAAGCTACTCCATATCATATCATAGAACTTATAGTCATGGTGCTGTAGAGTCACGAATACGATGAAAAAATGATGTTTTTAAGTTCACCTGTTACGATTGTCCACTGAAGGCTCCGAAGGCTCTGAATCTGAGGGCTGCTCTCTTTGTTAAAAAGAGAAATTAGAATCCGGTGTTCAAGATAAATAACACCAAACTAAGATCTTCTCTTGACCTTACCAGAAAGATTCGTAAAATTTGAAAAAGACTGACTTTCTCATATGTGAGTCAGGTCTTATAATAGTGTGTCTGAGACCTACCCCAAATCCTTTTCCATCTATTCTTGGGGAAATCCTGAATTAGAGTAGTGGTTCATAAACCTTTGATGTATTTTAGAACCCCCAGAGGAGTTTATCAAACAGAGTCCTGGGGCACACCTTCAAAAATTCCAGATCAACACACTCATGTTCATAGTCATGATAGACACAAGGTGGAAGCAACACATGCTCATGGATGGATGAGTGGATAAATAAAATGTGGCTTATTATATACATGGGAATATTATTCAGCCTTAAAAAGGAAGGACGTTCTGGGGCACCTGGGTAGCTCAGTCAATTAAGTGACTGGCTCTTGATCTCAGCTCAGGTCTTAATCTCAGGGTTGTGAGTTCAAGCCCTATGTTGGGCTCCATGCTGGGCGTGGAGCCTACCTTATAAAAAAAAAAAAGGAAGGACGTTTTGACATATGCTACAACATAGATGAACTTTGAGGACATTGTATTTACTACCTGGAGTAGTTAAATTCAGAAATAGAAAGTAGAATGTTGGTTGCTAGGAGCAGGAAGTGGGAAGTTGATGTTAAATGGGGACATTTGGTTGTTTCCAGTTTTTGTCTATTACAAATAAAGCTTCCAGGAGCAATTGTGTATGAGTTTTTGGTTGAACATCAGTTTTCATTCTTCTGGAATAAATGCCCAGGAGTATAATTGGTGGGTCACATGGTTGTTTCTTGTTCAGTTTTTAAGAAACTGCTAACTTGTTTCTCAAAGTGTCTGTACCATTTTATATTCCCACCAACAATGTATGAATGATAGTTCTCCGCATCTTAGCCACCATTTGCTTTTACCACTGTTTTCTATTTTAGCTGTTATGATTCGCCTTTAGTGATAACTCATTGTGGTCTTAATTTGCATTTTTCTGTTCCATAGTCACACATGTTATCCATTGAACCGCTGGCCTGCACTTAATTTGCATTTTTCTAATGGCTAATGATGTTCAGCATATTCTTATGCTTGTTTGGCATCTGTATATCACCTTTGATGAAATGCCTCCTCATGTCTTTTGCCCATTTTCTAATTGAATTTTTTTTTTTTACTGTTGAGTCCTGAGAGTTCATTATATATGTTGGATCGGAGACTTTTGTGAGACATATGGTTTACAAATAGGTTCTCCTGGTTTGTAGCTTGTTTTTTTCATGCTCTTAGTAAGGTCTTTCAGGGGGCAAAAGTATTTAATTTTAATGAGGTCCAATTTGTCAATTTTTTATTTATTTTTGATTTTTTTCCAATTTATC